GGGCATGCATGTGCTCAGGCATGCATGTGGACAACACACCAATACACATAAAATAATAGTTTAACATGTTTAAACAGTAGAACATGTTTGGGGGATATGGTATAGGCTTTGGGTGTCTGTCTTCAAATATATAGAACATTTAGAAACTGTCTTTAGACTATGCAATTGAGAGCTGGCCCTGGGAGGTTGGGGATACAGATCTGAGCGACTGAGAACAGAGGAAGGATCTGTTCCTACCAGAGCTGGAGAGAGCTGCTCTGCTGGAACTCTTCTGTAAGACCACTGGGCAGTTTAGAGGGTATTTACAAGATGTTCTGTCTATTCTGGGTTCTCAGGGAAGCTTTTAAGCTTCTGACCCTCAGCCATACACAGGACCTTGAAGAATGTCCAGCAATCCAATCTACTTGATCTTTGTGTCCTTTCTGTGAGACTAGTTTTTCAAAATTCCCTGCATGTGTTCATTGCACATGGTTCTATATTATATAAGGATATTTTCATACAAGCTTATATTGCACATTGAGCATATTACCTCTTATCTGCCTCTTTCCTCTTTTCCCTCTGTCCCTCCCCCATGAGTCCCCCTTTTTCCTAGACAGTCTTGCCTCCACTTTCATATACATACATAATTTTACCTATTTAAAGTGTACGAACTATTCATGAGAGAAAACATGATCTTTGTCTTTCTAAGACTGACTGAATTTTCTTATTCTCAGTTACATCCATTTACCTGCAAATGGCATAACTTTGTTCTTTATAGCTAAGAACAATTTCACTGTGTCTGTGTGTCACATTTTCTTTACCCACTCCTCTGTGCTTGGACACCTGTTGTTGTGAACAGTGCGGCAATAAACATTGTTGTGCACGTATTTTCATGATGCATTGACCTGAGTCCTTCATCCTCATAGTCCTCATCAGTACCAGTGTAGACTGTTTACACAACAGCAGTTCTAGCCAGTTTTTCTTACTTGTTGATTGAGCATTGTGGCATACTGATGCTGAATTGTTCTTAAAAATCGACATTGACCCCTTTGCTGCTGCAAGAGTGAAAATGTAAAGGCCCCCAGACCTTAGCACAACTGGCGATGTGATCAAAGTACCATTCAGGCCTTGGAAGCCAGCACATGGGTAACACCACTTGCTAAAATGAAACAAAGACCTATTCCATCAAAGTCAGTAGTTCTGGGAGAGGCCCTATGTGGTGGTATATTGTGTACCCTAATAAAATTTGCTTGAAGATCAGAACAGAACAAGCCACTAGATTAAACGTAGAGGCCAGGCAGTGGTGGCACACACCTATAATCTTAGCACTCAGGAGGCAGAGATCCCTCTGGATCTCTGTGACTTCAAAGCCACCCTGGACTACATGAGATTGACTCAGTCTAGGAGAGAAACAGAGCCAGGCAGTGGTGGCACACACCTTTAATCCCAGTACTGGGAAACACACACCATGGCTGGGTGGAGAAAGGTATATAACGCATGAGGAGACAGGAACTAAAGGCTTTTTGGCAGAAGCATCCCTCACAGCTAGAGGCTTTTTCAGCTGGAGCCTTTCAGCTGAGGACTCAGAGGATTTTAGTCAGAGGATTCATGGAATTGGTGAGGTGAGACATGGCAGTGGCTTGTTCCTTTGTCTTTCCGATCTTTCAGCATTTACCCCAATATCTGGTTCAGGTTTTTTATTATAAGACCAATTTAAGATTCGAGCAACACCCTAAATGTACTAACCTTGCTTTTTGGCTCCTGGAGTTGCTCCTCTGGCTAACTGTTCTTGATAACTTAGATGTGTCAACCTAGGATGTGGATTTGTGCTTAAAAAGCTCACCCTGAGAAAGGCTCAGGACTGCACTCAGGTCCCAAACATCCAGTGTAGTCACCAGCCAGCTAATAACGGTTTTCTACTGTCTTGAACCCATGTCCAAGTAGTTTTCTCCAATGAATACCTCACAACAAAATCTAGGCCAACAATTCAACTTACCCACTGTCTGGTCCTAATACATTCTTCCAGTTTCATCTCCCAATAATCTCTAATTCATAAATAATTTTTTGGTCCTTGTTATGAACTGAATTGTATCCCTCAAGATTCATGTGTTAAATCTCTAGTCCCCAGTTTCTCAAATTGTGAATGTATTTGTAGACAGGGCCTTTAGAAGGTTGGTTAAGTCAAGATAAAGTCATTAAGGCAGGCTCTTATTCTGTCTTCCTTGAGAGACACCAGGGATGTAAGAGTACAGCAATAAGCATCCATCTACGAACAAGTGGCCCCAGCACAGAATAAACCATGTTGATACTGATTGTAGACCAGAATCTTGAGAAATAGATTTCCGTTTTAAGTCACTCCATATGTGGTGTTTTCATTATGGTGACCCCAGCAAATGAATGCAACCTGACTCCTCTCCCTTGTTTACACTTTTTCCCCCACCTAGAACATTCCCTCTCTGCTGCATAGAGCATGGCTCCTGGGACTTGGTTCTAACAGAGTGGTGAGTGAATAAAGAAATGGCAGACAGAAAAGCTGGATCAGGTGGTCTGGGCTCTGCTGGGAAAGTCTCAGCACCCCAGGAGCTCAGAGTGTTGGGTATATAGAGTTGAACAGTGACACGGGCTTACCACCTAGCCCAACAAGGAGGCGGGGGTTGTGGTCTACAGCCAGATCAAGGGGACAGGTTGGGCCAATCTCTGTAGGAGTGGTCTCTGCTGTGGAGCAGTTTTCAGGCCATAAGTGTCCGGGGGAGGTGGAGAAGCTCTGGTGGACATTTCCTCTACACTGTCAACACTTACACTTGGTCCCCCAAGGAAGGTACAGCCATTTCCTTCTAAGCCTCCCAGGTGGCAGGGAGGCTTTGCCATTCCTCCGAGGTTCTGAGGCTCTGGGGTCATTAACACGGCCATGCCCATGTCAACAGCACACATTCACTCACAGCTTCACTCACTCAGGGCCTCCTTCTCTCCCGTGCCCATCTGTAGTTCTCATACAGTTCATCATATAGTTCACATATGAGGGTGGCCTCCTATGAGGTCATCTCAATCCAAGCCCTTAATATTTGGTGCCTGATATTCCTGCTTCGAGTTTTCATGGTTTGTCTCCCTGAAGACAAACCTTATTGAGAACCCAGTTCACAGCTGCATAGTTGGTGGTTCCTGTAAAGTATCTCAGGCACAGCGGATGCCGAAGAACTTCCTGTCAGTTACTGTGCTTTGATGTCAGTAACAAAATCTCCTACTGAAGAATGGCTTAGGCAGTAAGGAAACTTCACTTCAACAAGCCAAGACGTAGGAACGGCTCTGCGTCAGGTGAGCAAGGCCATTATTGTTATTCTCCATGCTCCCACCACAGGGGTTCTGCTGTTACAGTTAGAAAAATAGCATTAGAGACGAAACGGTTATCTTCCAATGCACTTCTTTTGGGAAGTGGCCTTCCTGAACACGGCCATTCCCAAGAAGGTTGTATTACAGTCTGGCAAGATGGCTCAGCAGGGAAGGTGCCTGCCAACAAGCCTGGCAACCTGAGTTAGAGATTCAGTGGGTGAAGGCGAGAACAGAGTACAAGTGTCCTTTTATGACATGTCTGTGTGCACACGTGCAAACGAAAACACACACACACAAATACAATCTTTTTTAAAAATTGTTTAAAGAAAGTTGTTTTTCCTTGACCACAGTGAATCATCAGCCATTCCTCAGTAGGTTACTCGCTGGAGAAGTGACATTACCTTGGTTTGCATGCCCAAGCACCAAATCCCACTGTGCCAGTCAGGAAACAAGCAGGGAAATGGAAGGGGAGGGAAGAAGGAGAGGAAAGGAAAGTAATCAGTGATAGCTGTAAGGGGTTGGAGTAAGAACTAATACCTTTAATAATCCATCCCAGTGGTCACTACAAGCACTTTTGGTATATTAATGCACGTCATCCTCACTACACCTTATGAGATGGAAATACTGTCATCCATTTTAAGATAAGTGAATGAGGAAAGGGTTCCTTTCCCTTGGCCAAGAGTTAGAGAGCAGCCACCAAGTGGTAGAACTAGAAATCAAACCTAGAGTGTGGCTTTGGAGCTCATGTTAGGTGCCGTGAGCATTTTCTGTCTAACCAAAGTTGCCTACTTCAAAATGCTGTTGGGGCAGTGTCAGCCTCTGGGAGTGATTTGATTGGCTCCTGCTACCAATCAACACGTTCTAAGGGAGTCAGTTTGATCACCACGGTAGCATAGGCTGACTCTGACTGGTAGCCAAGGGAAAGCCCCACTGACCAGTTCTGATTTAAACACAGTGGTATCTACTCCTGAGGGTCTTTCTATCCTGTCCTGGAAAGTTCTAGCTATGAACAAACTGAGTTTGCATAGGAGAACTATCTTGCTGCTTTGAATGGCTGCATGTGCCCAGGGGGCCCGGCTTGCAAGGGACTTCGGATTTCTTGTCCTTTGGGAGCTAACAGCACTTAGCCTCCCGTGTATTTTTTAATTCTGGTCCTGATTTTTGTTGTTGCTTTGTTTTTCCTGTTTTAGTGGTATTCGTTAAAGCCTATTTTATAGGAGGAAACTTATCCTTAAATGTGTAAAAGCCAAGAACCCACTGAAACTATACTGTTGTCACGTGCTAATTCTCTTACCACCTAAATAAGAGGATCAGAATTAGAGGCCATGCCAAGTCTACCTGCCTGATAAGTCAACCTGCCTGACTTCATTTAATCCCCAAATACAGGGCTTGTGGTTAACTACTAATTTCCTTAGACACATTTGTAAGTTTCTATTCTTTCATTTGGTACTGCGTTACCGGGAGTTTTTTGCTTTGCTTTTGAGCTAGGCTGGCCTTGAAATCACCATATAGTGGAGGATGACCTTGAATTTCTGATCCCCCTTCCTTCCCCTCCCAAATGCTGACATTACAGGGATACCACAGCACCCCATTTGTGTGGCACTGGGGGCGGGGAGACCATGCCAAATAGACACTCTTATCAGATGAGCTGGAGCCCAGGCTAAAAGGAGAAATATCAATAGCAATCCACGGAGTCTGCTTAATGAGCAAAGGAATTTATTTGTGGGGGTTAACTCACAAGACAGAATAAAGGAATTTGTCGCAGGATCCTGGGAGGGTGAGGCACAGTCCAATGCTGTTCTCTGGCGAGATCTGTCCTAGTCCGTCCCAGCCTCCAAAACTACAAGGTAGTGAAGAGAGAGCAATGTACGCACATCCCAGGTCTTTAGGGTCCCGAGTGGCCATACCCCAGGGGCATGTACTTGAAGGTCATAGGCAGGTGTAACAGTTACCTGCTACCTCACTAGGGGCGGTGCTTCAGGGCCTGGCAAGAACAGCCACCCACTACACCAGCCCTCTTTTCCAGGAGTTTTAAGGGAAGAACAGCAGGTGCATACTTGAAATGCTGCAGTGTCAATAAAGTGCTTGTAGGTGGTAAAAGCAGTTGACGTGTGTGTTTTCAGCACAGCACACCTTAAAGTTCTATGACGACAGTTTGTCTGAGATATGAAGTTGCGTCCTGTCTGTCAAAGCTGAAAGGCAAGGAAATAGTAAGGCAAGTTCCTGGCTAGTACTTAAGCCTTGCCAATCACCTGCCCTTGCACGCAGAGCGTCCCTGTGTACTGCGGCCCTACACAGTTACTGCTGTGATAGAAGCCAACAGAACAAACCAAAGTGGTCTCAGTACGTATGTGTCCCCAAAAGAGATGATAACGCTGGTGATGAGACAGTTGAAGAAAATACTGGTTCTAGCCAGCCACATTTAGAAGATGGCAGCTCTGTGCCACAAAAGATACGCTCTTCAACAGTGCAAACCCAGAGAACCCCTAGCCCCTGGGATTGGGGGTGTCCCTTTCTCTTAGAAGCCAAGTAGGATGGTTTGAGCTGAGCCACTCCATCCCTATACAGGGAAAAGCTCCCAGCCCCCCACTGTGGGTCCCCTACCCTTGTTTTTCTACACTTCCCCAGGAGAGACTTCGATTCTCCGCCCCACCCCCACCCCCATTGCGTTTGTTTCTTTGATAAAATGTCCCATCAGCCTGCTGCTCCGCCCGGTTCCTGGTTCCATTAGAGTGCCATCAGCTCTGCTTCAGTGCCTCCCTCCACCTGGCCCTTCCCACCCCGCCCCTAACTGTACAAAGCAGCTTTTATTTTTATTTTTGTACTTGGCTGGTAAAGGATATGGAGCTGTGTAGCGCACAGCCCAGCAAACAACAGAAAGCTGGTTGTGAACTCTATCACGTGACCTCCTCCAGGAGCTCTTCCTTGGTGTTCGTCCTGGCCAGGTTTATGTCAACTTGATATAAGTTAAAGTCATCTGAGAGGAGGGAACCTCCATTAAGAAAATGCCTTCAGGGCCTGGAGAGATGGCTCGGAGGTTAAGAGCACTGGCTGCTCTACCAAAGGATTCAGGGTTCAATTCCCAGCACCCACATGGTTCACAACTGTCTGTAACTCCAGTTCCAGGGGACCTAACACCTTCAAACAGACATGCATGCAGGCAAAACACCAAAGCACATAAAATAAATATAAGAAAGGAAGGGAGGGAGGGAGGGAGGGAGGAAAGGAGAGAGGGAAAAGCCTCCATAAAATCAAGCTGTATGCAAGGAAGGAAAGAGGAAAGGAGGGGAGGAAAGAAGGGAGGGAGGAAGGGAGGAAGGAAGGAAGGGCAGGCCACCATAAGATCAAGCTGTGTGCAAGCCTGTAGGGCATTTTCTTAAATAGTGATTGGGTGTGTCGGGGCCAAGCCCATTGTGGGTGGTGCTGTTCCTTGACTGGTAGTCCTGGATTCTATCGGAAAGCGGGCCGAGTAAGCCATAGGAACACCCCTCCATGGCCTCTGCATCAGCTCCTGCCTCCAGCTTCCTGCTCTGTTTGAGTTCCTGTCCTGACTTCCTTTGATGATGAACAGTAACTTGCTTTTGGTCGTGGTGTTTCATCCTAAGACAGTGCTCCTTTCCAGAACTGCCTGTGGTTGATGCAGGCTGGCACCTGGGTGCGAGTGCAGCCGTTAGGCCGGCATCTGGCCTGTGCAGTTGCTAGCTACAGAGCCTGCCACTCTCCCTTGTCTGGGGGTTCCATCTGTGTCTGTAAATAGAGCTACAGAGGTCCCTCGGGGAGTCTTTACAAAGCAGGCCTCAGTAGCAGACACATAGCAACTGCTGAAAGACAGTTGTTGGTATGAGGGTGAAGTTGAATTATGTTGCCCTGGCTTCCCTCTTCCTAAGGCCCTGAAAAAAAAAATGAGCCTGCTACATTACAGTACACACACACACACACACACACACACACACACACACACACACACACACACACACACACACCCCTGTTCCTTTACAGAAGAATTTTTGGGAATGAGCCTGTGTATCATTAGTTTCTTAAGCTTCCCAGATGGTTATACTATGCAGCCGGGTTGATAACTACTATAGACTCCTCTGGCCCACTCCACTCTCTTTTCTGGGCTTCTAGCCACCTTATTCCAGGCTGGGGAGAGAAATGCAGAATGCCCTTGTTTCTCAACCTTTTCTGGCCCCCGTCCTCTCTCCTTCCTGGCCCCTAGTGGCTCCTGTTCTACTCTCTGATGAGGACAAGAACCCGTCTTACCTATGTTTAGTTGGTTAACTTGTACTTCATTTATTTAGCAAGCATCGACAATGTGCTAACCATTGTGTTAAGTTCTAGAAACAGGTAAGAACAAGACAAAGTTCGTATACTTGTGGGTATTATGTCTAGGAGCTTGAAACAAGCAAGCAATTGATGTTTAGTGTCTGTTAAGACAAAACTGCAGCTCTTTGGGGTGAGGCACATGCCTTGAACCCTTGCATTCAGGAGGTGGGTGGAGGAAAAGGATCGGAAGTTCAAAGTCATCAGCTACATTGTGCATTGAAGGCCGGAGTGAACTATACAGACTCTGTCTCAAAAAATAAAAATTTCAGCCGGGCGGTGGTGGCGCACGCCTTTAATCCCAGCACTCGGGAGGCAGAGCCAGGCGGATCTCTGTGAGTTCGAGGCCAGCCTGGACTACCAAGTGAGTTCCAGGAAAGGCGCAAAGCTACACAGAGAAACCCTGTCTCGAAAAACCAAAAAAAAAAATAATAATAAAAATAAAAATAAAAATTTCAAGAGATGAAATGAGCAGTTATTTGGGGGTACAGGTAAAGGTCCTGAGACATGGTAACTGTGCTGGCTAGTGTTTTGTTAACATGGCATAATCTAGAGTCATTTGGGAAGAGGGAACCCCAAAGAAGAAAATGCCCCAACCAGATTGGCCTGTGAGTAAGTCTTTAGGACATTTTCTTGATGTGTGATTGACATCAAGAATGGAAGGCTTAGTCCATTGTGGGTGGTGCTATCCCTGTGCGGTGTTTCCTGAGTTGTGTAAGAAAGCAGGCTGAGCAAGCCGTGGGGAGCAAGCCAGTAAGCAGCAGTCCTCCGTGGCCTCTGCTGCAGTTCCTGCCTGGAGTTCCTGCCCTGACTTCCCTGGAGGATGGACCACAAGCTGGAAGATGAAATCCTCTCTTCCCCAGGTTGCTTATGGTTGTGGTGTTTTATCATAGCATAGAAACCCTGATACAGTGACTCACTCTGTAACCTGGGCTGGCCTGGAATTTGCCATACATCCCCAGCTAGCTTCAAACTAACATCAGTCTGCCTCTGCTTCTGGGATTACAGACATGAACCACCATTCTTAGGTCAGATTTGCAGATATTAATTGCCTTTTACCTAGAATCCAGTCAGGCATCGGTCCAAACCAAATACAAAGATCCTTTGGAGTGCCACACCACATAACACCACACGTGCACATTCAATCACAGCCAAAGAAATGGAAGCGGCAAGCAGAAACCGGAAGTGAGAAATACCTGGATTGACCACAACTTAACATTCGTCTTTTTTAAATGTCGCCTCAATAGTTCACTGCTGCGGTTGGCAGAGACTCAGCTATCTGTTGTTGCAAAGGCAAATGCCCAGGTGTTCACATTCTCGGTTAAGTTACAGTTCGCTGGGTAAGTACTGACTCAACTCCCTGCAGAGCTAAACTCAAGTCAGATGTAGTTGGACCTGGTGTGCCCTAAAGATGAAAGAAGCATGCAAAAGGCCAAGGTGATACAAGATGAAGGAGCCCATCCCTCAAGAAGCTAGCCAAACCAGGACATGCTATAGAACACCTATAATCCACAAAGTGGAAGCAGGAAAGTTCAAGGCCAGCAGGGCTACATAATATCCTGTTGCAAAAACAAAAAGAGTGTGTGTGTGTGGGGGGGGGGGATGGCAAAAATGCTCTTAAAAATAACTTTAAAGGGTAGCCAAGGACAGCCTGATTTTGAGAAGCAGAAACTGCTCACAGATTCCTCTACAAAAATGAATGTAGAATGTTGTCTAAATAGCTCGTACCTCCTAGATTAAATGGGATTTTTCTTAAGGCTAGGGTCTGCCTTTTATATTTTGATATTCTCTCATAGCAACCAATGCAGCCATGCAGGAGCAAGAATGCAGTGGCTCACAGCAGACTCAAAGGGTGTCAACCTCAACTGCATGTATCTGTGAAGACAGCCGGCAAGCAGACCCAGCAGGTCACCAGCTTGCTAAGTAAAGGAAAATCCAGGCAAGCACAGAAAACCGTACATGAGATCCGCAGCCTAAGGCTAGACATTCTGCTTAGCTACAGCTGCTTGTCATCGTTGCAGATTCTCACCCTCCCCCCCAAAAGAAAAAAATCTGCTGGGCGGTGGTGGTGCACGCCTTTAATCCCAGCACTCGGGAGGCAGAGGCAGGCGGATCTCTGTGAGTTCCAGGCCAGCCTGGGCTACAGAGTGAGTTCCAGGAAAGGCACAAAGCTACACAGAGAAACCCTGTCCTCGAAAAGAAAAAAAAAATCTTCAAAATACACCAAGGTCTGGTTGTGTGGGTGCTGTTTCAATTTAGTGAGACTAGACACTGAGGTGTGAACACCAGGTTCTGCTAGTCTACATCCTGCCGGAGTGGAGGGTCCTGAACAGGGATTATCCAGAATGTTTCACACCAGCTCTGATCTGGTGTTCATCCTGGGCTAGTCAGCTGACTCTTTGGAACCTTGGGGTCCTGGATCACAAGACATGATGCTCTCTAACAGTTCTCCAGACAGTCAAAACATCACATGAAACTCCTGGAAGTGAGGGCTTGTCTTCTCATCCTTTGTGCTCCACTTTTTACCAATGACTCTGTGTGTCTTCAGCCCGTACTTCCTTAAGGCAACTGAGTTCTATAGAAAGGGTCCTTTCCTGTGTGGGAAGGTCTGCAGGGATTCTTCAGTACTCTCAGGTGGAGCCTGCTCAGCTAGCTAGGAAGGCTGGCAAATTTCTCAGCTCTGGAACTCATGCCACTTTAAGGAGGCTGTCATGTTTTCTCCAGGGGCTTTCCTTGGAGCAAGTGCAGCACAGTCAGTACTGAAAAGCAACTCAGGAAGCAACATCATTCTGTGTGGGCAGAGAGGTGTGGCAGGGTTCCTGAACAAGCGGTCTCCAGAATGGTGTGTCACATACTAACTCTATGACCTATCTGTGACATAACCTGGGCGAGTTATGCAGCTCCTTCAAGCCTTGGATCCTTAATTATAAGACGTAGTATTCTCTCTGACAGTTGCTCGGGACTTTCTGAAAGAGCAAAGCACTGAGGGTACTTCCCCAATCCCCACCCTCCACCCCACTTTCGATCCTGGGGATCGAACCCAGGGCCTTGTGAATCTAAACCACTGCTCTACTACTGAGCTGCACCCTCAGCCCAGAGAGCACTGTCTGCTAGGGGATGCAATAAAAGAGCTGTCGACCTGGCCACTCCACGATATGGTGAAGGGTTTTATTATCAACAAGAGACTACAGCTAGAGGCATCTGGAAGAGCCCAGAGCAGACAGAAAAGAGTAGACTGAACATGGCCCGCCAACCGGACGTGATCAGGGCTTCGTGTGAGAGAAGGGAGAACAGCGTGAGATAGAGAACAGAGAAAACATCGCGAGGGCAGCAGGAGCTGAGAGTGGAGAGCATACTAAGGACGCGGCGAGGGTCGTAAGGAAGGGGAGTAGCTTGTGGGAGGGAAGTCTCTGAGCTGGGAGGGGGCTGTGGGATGTATAACAAGCACTTGTGAGTAAGAAATACGGAGCCTGGAGGCTACAGTGGGCCTGGATATGCTGCTGATAGGCACCAAAGCTGTATGTGAATTGAAGGGTCCCTTTTGCTGGAGGTAAAGGAAGTGACTCCCTTTGGTAGACCGGCACTGGCTTCACAAGTTCCTGAGGAACGGCTGGGTTTTAGATAATCACTAGGGGGAACTGGAGGTTCCTTTGGGCCTGATACTAAATGCTCTGCGGCCACAGCAGGCTATGATGGCAGTAATTCGTGGTGTTCTTCCGTTTCATGTGGTAAGTACTTGCATTCCCTCAGCCTCTCACTTCCGGGGACACTTCAGACATGGGATGCTGCCGGGCACGACTTTGCCCTTGGAGGTGTGCGTCAGTAAGCCTCCCTTGATTATGCCTGGGTCACTCTTGCCTTCGGATGAGGTTCCCTAGTGGGATCCCCAGCCACTGTCCTGGAGCTGTCATTTGGCCCGTGGGTTGTCACTTGGCTCCTGTATCTCCTTCCTTGGTTATTTCCGTTCTTAGTCCAAGGCCGACCTCTGTAGCCAGAGTTTCTTTGAGGGCAGCAGGCACCTCGATTTATACCTCTTTGCATCCTTAGCTCAAACACTATATCATTAACTGACTTTTGGGAATTGTGGGAGGTTAGTCTTTCCCCCAAACTCTATGTCCCCCTGAACTTCATGAATGGACCCTCATTTGCAAAAAGAACCTGCACAGATATAATCCAGTTAAAACAAGATCGTATTGGATTAAAGTGGGCTCTAAATCCAATGCGTGCTATTCTTGAAGCCAAGAGGAATTTGGAAACAGAAGAAACATAGGAAGGCAGGCCAGAGTACAGTGGAAGAAGAATTGGAGGGATACAGCTCAGAGCCGAGCACCAGCAAGGCCTGATGGCCACCAGGAGGAGGCAGAGGATTCTCCACCCTGAACCTTCAGAGGTGTCACACCCCTGCTAGAAAACACTAGAGTGTTAAGGCCCCTCATTCATAAGGGTGCCTCATACAAGAAGCATACTGAAAGAGGCGCTCCTCCTCAGAGGGTCACAATCCAAGTCGGGCAGCCTACTTTTCAGATCTGGGGAAACTGTTTGCAATAAGATTTTAAGAGAACAAGGGCAGTCACTGAAGGCAATGGATGGAGAGAAAAGTAACACCGGATATGACCAAAATAGAAATAATAATCATCCCAATGAATAACCTAAGACAATAATCCAAAACTAAGCTTAGGAACATGAAGATTTTTTTTTAAAGGTGTGATGGCTAATTTTGATTGTCAGCTTGACACACCTGCAAAGGAGCCTCAATTGAGGAAATGCCTCCCTCAGATTGGCCTGCAGCGTATCTGTCCGGCATTTTCTGGATTCTGGTTGAATAGGTAGCAGGGCCCAGCCCACTCTGGGCAGTACCATCCCTAGGCAGGTTGGCAAAGGCTGTGTAAGAAGGCTAACTGTACATAGCCTGGAAGCAAGCCAATGAACAGCTTTCCTCCACAGTCCCTGCTTCAGTTACTTCCCTCAGCGATGGACTGTGGTCGGGATGTATAAGCCGGATAAACCCTTTCTCCCCCTAGTTGCTTTTTGTCAGTGTTGTTTACCACAACCACAGAAAGTAAGTTAGAAGAAAAGGTGCCATCACTGGGCAGCTAACATGGTTCACAGGGCGAGAGCATGCACCACTAAGCCTTACAACCTAAGGTCCATCTCCAGGGCCCACATGGTGTGAGGAAAGAACTGACTCCAGAAAGTTGTCCTCTGACCTCTTTGCCCCAAACGAATAAATAAATGTAAAAAATAAAAATAAAAGATAAAGGTCCCACCACAGAAAACACTTGCTTTAGGACAGAATGATTGGCCAAAGATCTGGGGCTAGGGGAGCCAGGTTGTGAGTGGATATCCACTTTGATAGGTTCAAACTAATAAAACAGATGTGTGTGTTTCCTAGCGTGCCTTGCCTGAGGTAACTGGAGGCTGGTGCTGGGGCTGAGGATGGTTGCTGGTTCTTATGAATTCCGGCCCCCTTGGCCTGGGTTCCTCTGTGGTTAAGGGCACACACCCAACAGACCATGAAGTCTACATTCTGGCTCTCCCCTCTCCAACCCCACCCCACCCCCCACCCCTCATCCCACCTCCCCACCCCCGTTACTCGAGTCCCACTTCTCATTTGGGACTCAAATCAGAATAAAAACAGTTCTTCCCCTTCATAAGGTCGTGGATTCGAACAGGGCACGGAACAGAGGACGACTGGAAGCCTTGGTTTCTTCTCCTTCCTCTCGGGCACAGATGACGCCAACTTGGACAAGGTGAATTGTTGGGAAGATGAATTGTGGAGGTAATTTAATGACTTTTCCAGAAAGTAGAGGTCTCATCAGGTAGGAGAGGTGTGCCAAGCCGGCCCATGTTTCTCTCAATAAGTCTGTAAAATGGTCATGAAGACTTGCACACTGAGCACAGGATGCTTTTTTAAGCCAGGGTAGGGAAACTGAGGCTCTCTGCTGATGTGGGCACTCTTTGGAACTAACTGGATCTGGATTCTAGGTCCGGCCAGGCATACTGCAGGCTTTCAGCCCATTTCAAAAGATGGAACAAAGAATAAACCTGCTCAGCTGACTCACTTAGTCCTACTCCTTGCCCTGAAGGGCAGATTCCAGGAACAGTCCCCTACCCCCACCCCCACCGGATGAGGAAGACTCTTTGGGAATGCGATGCTCCACCACACCTACAGTGTCTACTTTACAAAGTGAACATGCTCACAGGACCCCTTACAAGAACCTCAAGAGTCAGACACTGCCCGGCTGGTTTAATGGGCGTGTACCATTCTTTGATGCAGTTGCTCTGTGAACCCGACACAGCATCACCCCCTGCCACCCTCACCTCCGCCGGAGGGGAAAGAGGAAGCGTACTCCGCATCTAGCCACTGATTAAAACACAACTTTGTACCCTCATTATCCTGCAAGACTCCACCTTCCCACGCTGCTGATAACGCTCGCCAGGCAGCGCAGGCCGTTGCTGGCCTCGCCCTCAGAGCCCGCTTGCATCCAGGCGAGTCCTGCCAGCCTTGAGCCCGGCGTGCAGGGGAGGTGGGGGCCAGCCCGGGAGTAGCAGACGTGAGTTGCTTTGTCACCGCCCTCTCGGCGACTTTGGGCAAATCACTTAGCAATCCCGTTCCTCCGACGCCTGGTGTGTGTCTGGCGGGCGGGGCAGCCGCAGAGAAGCGGGTACCCGGGCCCCAGAGCCACGACCTACCGGGGTGGCACGGAACGTCGGTCCCCAGCGCGGTGCGGGGACCCCGAGCGCAGGGCGCGGAGCTTCCTCCGCGGGAGGGAGCGTGGCGGTGGCGCTCCTCCTTTCTCCGGCGTCACGGGGGACCTCGGCGCTGTCCCATCGCTGGCCGAGGGAGAGCAACTCCGGAGCAGCACGCGTGGCAGAGGAGAGCCGGGCTCGGAGTGCCGGGGACCTCGCGCCCCGGGCCCCCAGCTCCCCGGTAGGTCGGCTTGGGCACGTGGACAAGCGAGGGGCGCTGGGGGCGCGACCCCTCTCCTCCCCGCCACTTTCACTTTCCCTCGTGGGCAACTTGGCGCGCCGCGTCTTGGTCGCTATGGGGCGGGGGCGGCGCGATCCGGAACTAGCCGGGTCCAGGCTTCTTGGCGGCGGAGCCCGTGGGTCCCCGAGGAGCAGGCGAGGGCGGCGGCGGCGGGGCGACTGCAGTGAGCGTCCAGCAGATGCCGCGGCCGGGTGTGGGACGCCGCGAAGTTGCCGGGGCCCGCGGGGGAGCCCTCCCCGGCTTGGGCCACCCGGAGACCCGCTCCTCCCGCGGCTTCTCCGTAGAGTGGCGGGGACGGAGGTCCCCCCGGTGGGAGGCAAGCCGCAGGTCGCGTGTCCCGGCCCGTGGCCTCTGCGGGGACAAGCTTCTGCACGTTTTAAGGTCAAGTTTGCATGCTGCGGAGCGGGCCAGAAATCGTACCTCCCTCCTCCCCCCCCTCCCCCCACCGTGCGAAGTGGCGGCGTCTTCCTGGAGGGCTGGGAACCTCTGGGGGAATCCCAGCCTCAGGGAAGGGACTCCGGGGCCCCCTCACGGACGTGGGCGTGCCTCCAGGGTGGGCATGGTATGCAAATGAAAGCTCCAAGCTTCCAGGTAGAGGCTGGAAGATCTTATGCCGGGCAAGTGGAGGGGTGATGCCAGTTTGGGGGCACATGCCCCACACCTTCTTTAACCTTTAAAACTTAAGAGTAATAAGAAGATTAAGGGAGCTGGAATAAAATTAGAGTCTATTGTACGGGTTGAGAGACATAGAAATCTCCTTTTATCTTATATGCATAAAAGATGCCCTTGTTACTTATTAAGCCGCATATCAGCCTAAGTCTAGAAACTAATAGACTGTTTTGTCAGCTTTCGTTGATAGTGCCTGGAGGAAGGAGAGTTTAAAAGTGAGTTATTGCGGAGAGCTGTCTGTGGTGCACCTAATAGGTATCCAGAGCTGTGAGGAATGCTGGGTTCGGATGTTGCTGGATTATCTTTTATTGGTATTAGGAAAGAAATGGCCAGAGAAGTGTGAGGCACTGGGAAGGCTGGAAGGAGAGTTCCTGAGAGTCTTGCTAAACAGGGCAGAGGTGGGCAGGGTAACGCGTGAGATTAGTACCGTCAGCCTAGGCAGGCTGTACATACTCCAGGAGGCTCTATGTGACTGACGCTGCCTTTTCTGCCCTGACCCGAGGAGGAGACGTTGTGGGCATGCCCTGGTTCCCGGGGCTTACCATTAGCACTACATTGTGTGAGTTAAGCTGAATAAGCTTCAAAGATTTGTCTTTCAAAGACTTGTGGGGCAGGAACCACGTTGAGACAAGAAAATTGAGCAACGTGGGGTCAAAAAGTCGGTTGGACAAACCAATGTCTTGCATAGTTACTGTGAGCTGGGCCCTTGCTGTGGGGCACAGATGGGCAGTAGCTCATCTTTTTGGGGTGCAGGCCCCTTACTGTGGTTTGGAAGGTGGGCTAAGGATGAGTTGGAACTGTTTAAGCTGAGGGGTTGGGTGCGTAAAGGGATCAGTGTATCCTAAGAGCAGAGAACAGGAGAGGTCAGTGCTGGGAGAGCCCCATGGGAGCCCGAGGGGACGGTGGAGAAGGGTGCTGCTAAGGTATGGTGGGAGGTGGGGCCCGTGACATAATGTAGGTGGATCTTCAAAACAGCTTCACCCCTGTGAGTCTCCTCATACAGTTGTGACTGAAAACCAAACCAGCCAGGTGCAGGTGCAGGTGAGGGCTTTCAGGCCCAGCCACTTGGGAGGCTGAGGTAGGAGAACTGAGTCCAAACAACAAGCACTCACCCTGGCTGCTGAATGGATTTGAGGAGCTCTAGAGTATGCAGGGCTGGGTCCGAGCGACTGATGATTTGGTGGGTGGACTGGGGGCATGCTGTGGAAAAACATTTTGTGGAGGATGTGAGTGCAGGAAGGTTCCATAAGTTTGGGTGCTGCTCTTCCCAGAAACAGGGAGCCCTGGGAAAGGAGCCGGTTCCAGGAAGAAGGACAGGTTCAGTTTTGTTGAGTCTGCGCAGTTCTGGAGCCTGGGAAAGAGAGCTGCGTCCGCTGTGGCCAGTAGAGCAGGCTCTGGCTGCTGGCTGCCATCTGCAATAGGGATGAGGTGTGAAGAGGGGAGAGTGGAGATTAGGAGGTGGGAAAGTGGATCCTGAGGGCAGAGCATCCAGAGAGGGATGGCCAGGTCTGGTAGCTGCTTCCGAGGTAAGAGGGAAGTCGAGGAATGGCTTTTTATAGCTGTTTAAAAGTGAATGACATGGAGCCAGTGGAAGAAGATGGCATCCAGAAGGGTGAGAATTTAGAGGTTAAGAGAGCTGACTGCTCTTCCAGAGGACCCGGGTTCAACTCCCAGCACCCACAGGGCAGCTCACAACTGTCTGTAACTCCAGTTTCAGGGGACCCGAAACTTCCCAGGGCAAAACACTAATGCACGTAAAATTTATTAAAACAATTTTTTTTAAAGTTTGATTCTGATGGTAGATGGATCAAAGTCATGTAAACAGTCAATGCCTTAAAGAGACAGTATGTGAGGCAAGTGCGTCTGCAGGTGGACTTTTTACTGTGTAGATCACACAAGTTGGATGATGTTGGAAATGCAGAGGGTGAGTGACCTCAGACCTCAGCTGTGCTCTGATCAGGGACAAGGCTCCTGGGCTGAGGCTGCGACCGCTTGCTTCTTGTCTCTGTTGTTCCCATGCTTGCATTCTAGCTCAAGTTTCCTGGCTTTTGTGACTCCTTGCCCTGGTCTCTGAAATGACCCTACGAGTAAGGACTCTGTTCTTCCTCACTAATTGACTTCATGTTTCCAGCACACATGTATAGTGTGTGTGTGTGTGTGTGTGTGTGTGTGTGTGTGTGTGTGTGTGTGTTGTGTGTGTGTGTGTGTGGTACCGGGCATACGGCAAGCACTCAGTAAGCCCTGTGCTGCGGATTCAAATATGGTGATAAAGTCCTTTCTGCGGTGTCATGTCCGTCGTTTCCAAACACATCATCTGAGACCTGGAGAACTTTGAGATGACAAAGGCCGCAGCAAGTGAAATCCTGCGTCCCTTTGGATGATTTCCAGGCGACGGCTGCCTTTCCCACGCATGTCAGTGTCAGGTTCTAAGTGTGGCCGAAGACCAACTGTAATAAGAGAATCCAGGACAGACGTGGTAAGACAGCCGTGGTACGCTTATCTGTAGTTCCAATACTCAGGAGGCTGAGGCAGGAGGATTCGTGGCTAGCTTGGACTACAGAGTTCCAGATAGTCTAGAATACAGAGAGAGAGAGAGAGAGAGAGAGAGAGAGAGAGAGAGAGAGAGAGAGACAGAGGAAGGGAGGGAGGAAGAGAAGAAAAGGGATACAGGATCCACCGCTTGCCAGAGTGTGGGGAGGTGAAACAGGTCAAATCGGTTTTAGTGGGGGCTTGCAGACTTGGCCCAAACCGTTTAGAGACCTATGCCTGGTGTTAATTTGCATTGTTTTGCATGTCATTCAATATGCATTCCCATATGCTGGTGATTTTCCTAGCAGGCTCCAAAGTCTGAAACTTTAGGGACAAGAGGAAAAATAAAATTAATTGGGAACCAAATGCAGTTTAATTAAATGTAGTTCTGTCCTAATAGACAGGAATGGTGGACTCAGAACGGGTTTGGAGGGTAGGGGGATTAGGTCTGTATTTACTATTTCAGAAGGCAGGGAAGCCAGGTATCATTTGATAAAAGCAGGTCACTCCTAATATGTTATGAAACTTGTTCTGCTGAACGTGTCGTGAGAAAACATAGGAAAAATGGAAGAAGACCAGAGGGAACCGGATTATATAAAACGCCAGAAAGCGCAGCACAAGCAGAAAGAGGTCTGGTTTAAGAGGCTGAGCTTACAAGAAATCCTAAGGCGGTTGGAAGGGAAGGGCTGGGTTTCTGCTAGGCTGACCGAATGTTAGAAAGTGTACAATCTCAGATACAAATGTATGAGGATTTTGCTGGGTGTGGTGGCACATGCCTTTTATCCCAGCACTCCAGTCCTTGGGAGGCAGAGATAGGGGGAACCCTGAGTTCGAGGCCAGCCTGGTCTAAAGAGTGAGTTCCAGGACAGCCAGGGCTATATGGGGAAATCCTGTCTCAAAAAAAAAAAAAAAAAAAAAAAAAAAGACAAAATAACAACAACAACAACAAAAAAAAAATCCCACAAAGGAAAGTTTTAGAGATACAGGATATCAAAAACCAGCAGCCTATGTATGTGGTGCCTGCCTGCAATCCTAGCACATGGGAAATGGAAGCCGGACCAGTTCAAGATAATCCTTGGCTGTGTAGCCAGTTCAAGGCTAGCCTGGGCTACATGAAACTCTGTATAAATAAGTTAATTAATTAACTAGATAAACAGCCAGAGAACCAAATGCTGGCTTTGTTAGTTGGAGTTAGTTCATGTGTGTCCCTGGGCCAGCTGCGTCAGTGTCGTCCGGGAACTCAGAAGCTCTGCTTCTGTGACCGCCCAGGGGACTGTGTGAGAACCTCTGGAGGTGGCAGGCCCAGCCGCCAGCTTTCACGGATTCTTTAGATCCTTGGAGCAGCTTGATTTTTCAGTCATTGGCCCCTCATCTTCCAGTTTCCCGCCCTTCGGTATACCATGGAGCATAAGGGCTCCGTGGTATGCTGTTTGCGGTCCCTCCTTTACCATTCTTGGGGAGGGTTGGACTGAGAGACCCCAAACCACCCCTTAGGTCATCTGCTCAGGACAGAACAGAGCAGGCTGGGCTGTCCCTCCCCGGTGGCCAGGTCCAGCCTCATGGTGAATGCTTTCTTAGCTCGCTTAGGGCTTCAGCCTTCTGCAGGCCTGT